TCGGATCAATTGGTATCTCTATCATACATTGTGATATACATGCATTTCTTCTCACTTCCAAAATCCCGTCATCTCCCTCATCGGTTCCCAAAACCCATAAAGCTATCCCTCACAGGCACATTCCCATCTATTGGCCTACTATACCTACTGCTAACAGTCTTCTGAGTCCTCGTCGTCATGTACAAACTTGGCGGCATTGGTGGAGGCCATAGATCCTGAACAGTAACGCCAGTCATTCTCGGCCCGGTAGCGGCTGCCATCGGGGGCCGGGGAGACAGCAAGGGGTCAAACACACCCGAAGAGGGGCGGCGATCTCCATATGTAGTTGACCTATTGTAGAACTCTTCGTCGCCATGATTCATACTCTGGACAGGGTATGTGTAACCTCCGGTCTTGGGGTTGTAGATGCCGCGCTGCTGGTAGTTGATCCGCTCTTCGGGCGAGAGGAAGTTGTCGTCTTGTGTATCTGGCTCGTTGATGCTTCCTTCTTTCCTGAAGTTGAATGGAGTGCCGATACCACTGTCTTCGGAGCCTTTGAGCTCTTCCGTCTTTCGTTGTGTGAGTTTGGGTTTGGTGGTGATCAATCTGGAAACCGATAGCGGATCTTTCCTATCGAAACCGAACGTAGCCATCGTGTCGCTTCGTTTGAGCCCACTAGAACCAACAGTCGTTGTTCGAGTCATGCCGGCTGCCTCTTTCTTGGCAATGTGTTGTTCCAACCAGGCCCGAATGCCGACTAATGCCGTGGCACTGATTTGTATCATCAAGACAATACTCACGAGACCAGAAACGCTCGCTGAGGTCAGCACCGCGTCGGCGACGCAAAGTGATATGGCACGCAGTGTGGCGAAACCCTGCAAGAAGGCGAATTGGCCTAGCCCCAATAGTAGCTGGGTACTGATACCACTGACGAGGTAGATGCGTTGCGGTGTCTTCGCAACCGCGATAGGGCCTTTAATTCCGGCGAATGCTGCGGGTGAGGGATGTGGAATCTCTGTACGAAGACGAACGATGGAGAATCCCACTGCTGGGAAAAGGAATATGAGACAAATGAGGCCCATGATGCCATGTGTGTCGCGGAAATGACGAGAGCTTCCCATACCGACCATGCCTAGGATTATACCAGTGATGCCTAGAATGGCGAACGTGATCAAAAAGCCCATACGCCATTTCCTGTTCTTGGCTTCATCCACTGGGAAGCCGGTCAGGACGGAGAACCGCCAGACTACACCCAAGACAAGGTATAATGGAAGGAAGGTAAGAAATGCGAGACCAGCGAACAGGACGTGTAGTCCTGTAATGACTGCAAATGGGACCAGCGCCAGGCCATTGATCTTCACACTCTGGCTTTCGATGATAATCTCGAACATGTTTCCTTCTGATAAGACTGTAATAGGTCCTCGGGGCAGTGCTTGCAATACCGTTGGGTCGAGAGTCTGACCGAGTTGGCCCATCGCTTTGCCCATCATAGTAGCGTTCGCTTTGGCCGCGGCCATAGCACCAAAAGCTGCGGACGCGATGCCGCCGATTCCCTGGCATGTGAGAGTATCGACCAATTTCTGTGCGCCTTTCTGCGCTGTGGCGGGGTCGATAGCTATAGGGAATTGGCTGGCTCCGCCTTGAGATTGACGGGCGGTAATCGGACTAGATGCTACTGCGATGTGTCAGTATATGCAAAAGCTCAGCTAGCAGCAATTCCTTACCTACACTGGAATCCTCGTGGAACTCTCCGACAATGCTTCGACGTGATGGAGGAGCCACATCAGACTTTGACATGCCCTGAGTGAGGTTTCTGACGATCTCCGCAACCAGTATCGTCGCTTTGCCTGTAAGCCCTCGCGCAAAGCCAACAGCCGAGCCGTTTAGCGTATCGTTAAACTGTGTCGGTGCCAAAACTGGCACATTGTCGTATGCCGTATCCGGAAGATCGCCACTGATCAAGTTCTTGACTCCTCCGACAGAATACATCGCGCTCACAACGCCTTCGATGGTACCTCTAGCGAGGCCTTCCGCTGCCTTCGCACCATCGATACCCTGCAATGCTTGAGGTGGGTTGTTCGCGATGAACGATTTCGCTTGTTGAATGGCGGTACCGTTAATGAGCAGGTTGGAAAAAAGGTTTTGCGTGAAACCTTCCGCAGCCAAGGCCGTTTGTTCGTTGTCGCTGTCAATATTACTAGCGATCATTGGCGGAGCATCCACTGCTTTGAAGTTCAATCCGATGGCAATCCCCATGCCTATACCCGCACCAGCTCCCGCAGCCATAGGTCGGAGCATGGCCTGGAGCTCGGTCGTGTTGGGGAAGGCCGTCATAGACCCGATGTCTAGATTTGAGAAGTTGCTGCCCTGAATGAATGACTGGCTAAGGCCTCTGGCGAAATGCTTTACGGTTCTCGGAAAGTCTATCGTGTCTGCTGTGGGATCCACAGATTGTCGCTTCTGATTCTCAGATCCTGATGGCTCTGATGCTGTCAAGCCCAAGCCGTTTCTTGCGCCTTCTCCTAGGCCCAGCCCTGCTGCTGCCGCGATCTTGGGAAGATTCTGCATGAAGCTCGAGACACCGGAACTATTTCCCAAACTCTTGATAGTGGCTCGAAGGTCAATGTTGGATACGATCGGCATTGCAACCCCAAGACCAAAATTTCCAGCTAGACCCTCAATGCTCGAATCCGACGAAGGCGCGAAACGTTGCTCTGTCAGACCGAACCCTACTGCAGTCGCGTTTCCAATGCCAGATGCCAGGGCAAAGGCCGCAGGGGCGAGAGAGAAGTTGTTGTCATCGAAGGAAGGGGTAATTTGCCTCGATAGGCCGTTTCCAAGTTGCTGAGCGACGAGGTTCGCACCACTTGCTGAAGCGTTGTAGGCGGTGGCGATGCTCGAAGCTATCGCGTTGGCTTCCTCCATGTCGGTCAGGTTGAGAGCAGTCGTTGTACCCATTCTGCTAATGGTTAGTCTGTTCGTTGTGGTGGGCACCTACGTACCCTAAACCTATACCCAGAAACAAAGCGGGTGTACCAAGGGAGCCCGTCATCAAGTCCCCTAGGCTGCCCAGTACACCGGCCAATCCACCTGTCAGATTGAACCCGCCTATACCACCAGCACCCGTCAAATCTCGGAAAGTACTACTGATGTCATCCTGCAAGTCCCTCCTCTTCAGTTCTGACCCCTCTTTCGACCGAACGTGCTTGATACCATCCGTGAGATTGGCGCCAAAGTTCTGGAGACTTTCCGAACGAAGCTTCTCACCGATATCACTGGAAGATAGTGCGATGGCTTCTGTGAGTGATAGTAGCGCACTGCGCAACCTTACGTCTTGGTTGAGCGCATCGATGGTCTGTGTAGAGAAGATTGCTGTGAGGCTGTCTGGGTAATGTTCGCTAACGAATGATCCCCGTGAGCCGAACCAAAAGGCAGCCGATGAGTAAAGCAAAAAGAAGGTCGTAAAGCATGCCAGTAGGTGCCAGACCGGCCTTTCAGAAGCAAACGCAAACATTATTATAAGGAGGTAGTGGGGTATCTCAAATACATGTGCAAGAAGAAACCAGAAGGCGAATGTGTCAATGGCGGTGGCCTGCCACAACACTCACTCAGGAACCAAGAGTAGGCGCCCGGCCAAGTGCCACAGCGATACTATATGTCGAGCAGAGTGGACATGGTGATGCTGTCCGGGGTGCCGTTCTTGAAACATCCTAGACGTAGAACTAGAAACGCTAGAAACATCAGAAACATGCCCACTTCATGTCGTACGTGCAGCATATCAAAGAGGCGCATTATGCGCTGGGGCCTGTTACTCCGTAATGCTGACACTTGCGCGAGGATCGCATTGCTGTGGATGGAGAACTGCTCGCAGTGAAGAAGTCTGACTGTAGTACAGGTCAGAGAAATATTTCTCCAAATCGAAGCCAGCTAGCCGCTCGCATGATCGCAAAACACAATTGTGGCCGAGACCATCTCTCGACGTCGCACAGGGTGCTGAAGGAGCAATAAAACAGTATTGCAGAGGGCTTTACCTCACTGCCGGGCTGTCCTAGTGGATGTGATCATCCCGCGACCGGGCCGTTCGGTAATGCGACGATCTTGAAACATGAGACATTGGCCAATGACCATGCACAACATTGAAGCTGTGTGATGAGCATTTTAGACGGCCAGTCAAGGTGCGAACAATGCCTGTAATGCTGGCGAATGGTAGTTGTCAAAGGACAAGAAGCGCGTGCCCCCGAACATTGCGGTCCAGGATACCTTCGCGAGCTCCGATGTTGAGGCTGCGTCTGTGGGTTAGCGACTGTGGAGCATGTGAAGTACCAGATTTGCATTCATGGCACGCGCGACAAATTCGCGTTCTCTGTGACACGTGCAGACAGCTCTCCTGGAGCCGCAGGTGCTTGACAGCTCCCAGGTCGTGTTACTCAGGCCGAGTAAGGTTTGAGAGGATGAGTGTCTATCGCATCCGGACCTTCAGATTGGGCGGGTGTGATATGGTTGCGATGTTTACGTTCGATTTGCGATGGTAGGGGGAAAGTTAAAAACAAGTCGACTGGACGGGTGAAGATGGAAGGAACAGACGCGTCACGCGTCGCGTGTTGAGCAGAAGCTGACTAAGCGCGCGTCGGCTGATCTGCGCCGAGACGGCGTGCGTTTCCCCACGTTCTGCTTCCTTTCCACAACACGAAACAGACAGCCACCTCTATTGTCTAGAGATGCAGTACACCTGCGATCTACCACATGCGACGACGGAGATCAAAGACTTTGCCTGCTCTATCCTGGCTTGGTGAACATAACGCAGAGACGCCATGGGATGGCGTGTATCTGGAAACTTGGGGAACAACAAGAGACGACGCACTGGGCTTGAATTTTCCTTGATATACTGTAGTGTCCACGCTCCTTAAGATGCTCAAATGACTTCCGATAATGACTGTTTGAATCTCCCAAAACCCATTGCACGATACGAGACGATCTCATATTGCCACAACATCAACATCAACATCTTACTCTAATACAGTCTACCCCGCATGATACATCCCACTCATCGCCTTACCCGACCCAAAACCATGAGCCACCTCCGAGTCATGATCTACTGAATCAGCATCATCCCAATCCTCATCCTCCTCTCCATCCCCAATAACAAACATACTCTGCAGCTTCTCTAACTGCTCCATATGATTCACAGACATCCTCTTGCTTTCTTGAGCAGCACTTTCACGCATGACAAGCGAGTCTTGACGCTCGATGAGAGTCCACGACGCTTTTTCTACAGCTTCGGCACTCCTTCCAGGATCCAAGTCCGCGGGCTTTGTACCTGCAGGCAACGCAACGGCTATTGCTACACGGTTGATGATGTCTAGTGCAGAGGGAAGAGGACGATGCTGGGGCGGTATGACTAGGTTACCGATGGTTTCGAAGTGGCTGATAAGGGAGAAGCGAGTCTCGGGTATGGAGAGACGTTGGGATTCTTCGTCTGCGGTAGTGAAAGCTGGGTTGGAATGAGGAGACTTGCGTCGAGAGAAAGTGTAAAGTCGGACCGGGTGGACGAAGATAAGAATTAGGAAGATGGTTAGCAAGACCGCGCCTGCGCAGCTAGCGACTATGGCACCGACTTGGTCGTGGGTTAATGCCATGAGTGTTGGCCGGGCTTGAGTTTGTGAAACTGATAGTTTGAAGGGTTTTTGTGGGCTGAGATGAAGCATTGAGACAGGAACTATCTTGATAAGCTGAAGCGACTGTGTGTTGAACGTCCGGACATGTAGTCGCACAGTGCTTGAATCTTGGTCACATTGCGGGCCCGGGGATATCTGATAGCAGGATGTCCGCTAGCCGGTTCGAGCAACCGACCTCCTGTACTGAGTTGCGATTGGTATATCTGTGTCTAACGTGAGGACGGGTCGTCGAGCCCGTTGCAAACTCCGTTCGATCTCCTGTTGGCGTTCTTGATTGGCCTTTCTCCGACGTCGATGTCGAAAGTAGCTTATAACTCCGACGACAATGGCTAAGATGGTTGCAGAGCCTAGTATGGAAACTATAATGATGATCGTTTGATTGGAGATGCCTTGGGGTTGCAGTTCCTCGACTGACGCTTCAGCGGATGCATCAGCCAGATCGACTTTGTGGACATGTGAGGCGATAATTGATGTAGCCATCTTTTCGTAAAGCAGATGACATTTGAAGTTATGACTATGGTCTTCGAGAGTAGAACAGGAATCTATAACTAACCGAGAGCATAGCCGAGTATCATCTTTGTTCGAAGAAGTTGCCGGAGACAAAGCCGTCAGTGTGCTGCGCCCAGTTGTACCACCGCAGATCACATTGCATACAAAGACGATGTACAAAACGTACTAATGGCAAGATATCATGATGAGAAGTGATGGCATATTATATCGATACATACTTAAAGTCCTACCTTGTCTTTGAATTTCTCCCACTGCGTTTGTCGAGCTTTCTTCTGCTCTTCGGCAATCCGATTCCAGTGCTCCCTGTAATTTTGAATGAACACTCTCGGCTTCCATTCTTTTCGCATCTCCTTGCAACGCTCTTCCTCAAAGAGACTTTTCTCGGCATTGTAACGCTGGAACCATCCTCGATGAGTGAGGCGGTCGTGAGGCTGAGGCGAGCTAGTGGCAGAAGAGACTGCAGACTTCCACCACGTGCGCAAAGCCTGGAGATGATGCTGGAAAGATGTCTTGCGTGGCGGTGTGTTAGTCAACGGAAGTAGCAACTTCTTGGAACGACCGAAGAAGGTTCGCTTTAGCTTTCGTGAAAGCAGGAATGCAATGCCGAGAATCACGGCAACGGTAATCGGAATGATGATCAAGGACCTGCGGTCGATCTTCCAAACATTTCGCGTCGACATGATACGCGCTTCAGTCTCGGTAGATTATGAACCTGAAATGAGGCTGAGATCTTGGGTGATGTACTGTCTAGAATGAAATTGCGGTGAGCGATTCCGTGATAAGGTCGAGACAAAGAGGAAGTCGTGCATGGACAAAGCGATCCAATCAGTATCTAGGCGCTAGTAAGTTTACAATGGTTGGGCGGTAGAGACCCATGCGCAAAAACAATAATCGAGAGCGAGTGGACGACACTGTTCACGATGTTTTCCCGTCGTATGGCAGCGGTCTGACGCGTGGTGTGATGGATGCAAGTAGCGGTGGCGAGCGCGTGATGGTGAGCCAACCAACGACGTCATGAAATCTTCCATATTATCAAGGCCTCTGCCGCCCGATCCCGCAACCTTCATCGCTTCCTCCACCTTTGCTTTTGGCCGACCGCATCATTATCATGTCTGGCAACGCCTCGGAAACCGTGGTGGAGAAGTACCGTTACGAAATCCTCTTCGGCGCCTGGCTGGCCGTCACGGGCGCGACTTTTCTCCGCATCAAGCGTCAGCCCTACTCGACCCGCCTCAAGATCGAGCAGTACGAGAGCATCTTCAAGGGCACATCTCTCAGCGCCGTGCTGATCGGGATTGGCATCACACCTGCGCGGACGACAGCAAGGCGATTCAGCGGGAATTGAGCGGAGAGGCTCGCTGTCGATGCTCCGCAGAGAACGGGTGGAGAGGTCGCGTCTGGTTGACCTTGGCGCTTCCCCGCAACTTTCACATGCGAACACCCGTCATCATTGCTTCCTTCTCCACCACGGGTCGCCATTATGTTTCTTCGACTGGGCTCATCCAGCCTTGAGCTCAGCCTGTTGAACCCCGTCTATGCCGTCACGCCCTTCATCCTGCTCTCCGTCTCAATCCCGCTCGCCTTCTTCGCCGTCGTCACCACCTCAATCGCCGTATCGCTCCTCTCCTTCCGCGCATTAACCGTATATTGCCGTCTCGCCATTGCAATCATAGGCGCATGGCTATCACCATCGGCTTCGAAGCCAGTTCCGCTTCGGGCCCCTCTTATACCTTCGTCCGCCCGACACTCCCCGACCGGGCAGCGCCATCGCCGCACAAGCACGGCTAGCACGACATCTTCGCAAGATGCAGCTCTACACTCGGCGCATACGTCACGTCTCCTGAAACATAAGAACAACTCTCTCACGGCGCTCATTGGTACAAGCGAATTGACGCGTGACTTTGAGGGCGTGGGAGGATGGAGAGTGCCGGGGGACGACGACGAAGAGGCGCTGTGGATGGGCATCAACTCACGGCTCCAATTACCTGCCGAGACGCCTACGCGGAGGCATGCGCGGAGTTTGACAGGCGGTGCAAGTCCGGGACAGAGGTGGAGTGCTGTATCAGAAGCGTTTCGCATGAGCCCGGTACAGAGCAGGGCAAGGACACCAGTACGCTCTGCCGTCGAGGACGGATCTGGCTACTTCCCTGTGCATCCCACCTCAAATAGTCGGCGTGGTAGTGCCGGCTCCGAGTCCGCCAAACAACACAGTAGAAGGAAAAGTGGCAGTGGTAGCAGCATGTCAAGTACTGCCTCCGGTCTGGCTATAACGATGAAGGAGGCTGGCAAATGAGTCATTTCCACGGAATACGCTCCTTTCTTGGACCCCACTTCCTCTCGACTCTGCAAGCAGATCAGAGATCGATTCTTCGATGCACCTAGACTACAAATCATGCCGCGCTGAATATGATAACGGCCTTAGATACCCCGAAAGCGACTAACGCATCATCTCACACGACGTACGGTTACGGAATCGAACCACCTCTTTCGCTTAAGAGTCCGTCTTGACGTTTCCTCGATACGAAGAACCACCTTCCCACATTTTAGTTGGCGTATTATTGACTTGGAGGGTATAACGAATACACGATTACAAGCAGCCGCCTGTGGAGAAGAGAACGATCCTACGTGCTGTATACGTCGACGCGGACGATAACCAGCTAGCCGTCTGAAAAGTATCGAATACTTCCTTGCTAGTACATAGCATCCCTATCTTCAAGGTTTTTCAGCTATGCATTACTTAAACTGGCGACAATATCTCTCTTTTCATGTGCCAACTCTCTCTTGCGTCTTTATCAGGCTTCTAAATCAGCTAAAGGATTTGAAGGATGTCCTTGGCATGCACCTACCTACATGGGTTTGCAGCGATAGCAATTTACTTTTCATATACACGCAGAGCCCCACATGCGTATCGCAGTGATCGTCGAGTATGATACTGCCAGCGTTCTCAAAGGCTAAAATGAAGTCGTGCGACATTAGGGTAGGACCCGAGGAAGTGACTCCCGGGCCCCGCAGCCATCACACCGACATTGGCTGTTTACTCAACAACATGTGATCGTGGATCAGATGTGAGAGACGGCAGACAAAGACGGACAGCAAGTATCTGAAGTTTACATTTTATTAGTGTTCGCGCCGTTTAAATTCCGGACATCCCACTATTCTTATCCTCATTTCCAACACCACCTCCCACGACCACAAACATGCGGCCAACCTTCCTCCCCATCCTCCTCCTCGCCCACCATGTCTCAGCCCAACCCCCCTTCTTCAACATAACCATCCCCCCCATGCTCCGCTTCCAATGCTCGCAACTCGTCGTCGAGCGCCTCGACCCCCTCGTCTTCCCCTCCCTCATCCCCTCCCCCCACCTCCACCAAATCGTCGGCGGAAACTCCTTCACAGCCTCCATGCCGCAGTCCCACGACCTCGTCACCGCGTCCACATGCACAAGCTGCACGTTTTCTGAAGACTTCTCGAACTACTGGACCGCCGTCTTGTACTTCCGCGCTCGCAATGGCACGTACAAAAGGGTGCCGCAGTCTGTTAGTGAGGGGCTGAAAGGCGCGGCGGGGATAACGGTGTATTATACGCCGGATACAAAGAATCAGACTGGTGTTACGGCTTTCAGACCCGGGTTTCGCATGTTGGTTGGGGATGCGTTGGCGACGGAGAAAACGTCGGCTCGGAAGGTGTGTTATAGGTGTATGCCGGAGACGGGTGATAATATGCATCTTAACTGCGCGGCGCCGGATGCGCAGACACTCCCGACGGGTTTCTGTCCGGGTGGTATTCGTTCTGTTATCACTTTTCCAACTTGTTGGGATGGCGTTAATTTGGATTCTCCGGACCATCAGAGTCATGTGGCGTATGCGGATGGGGCGGGGGAAACCGATGTCGGGCCTACGGGGACGTGTCCTGAGTCTCATCCGGTGGCTATACCGCAGGTTATGTATGAGGTTATGTGGGATACGAGGGCGTTCAATGATGCGGAGTTGTGGCCAGAGGATGGGAGTCAGCCTTTTGTGCTTAGTACGGGGGATAGGTGAGTTCATGTTTCTCCTCCTCGAACGTCGATCGAGTCTAACGGGCTGTCAATACAGCAACGGGTTCTCGCAGCATGGAGACTATGTGTTTGGCTGGAAGGACGACTCACTCCAGCGTGCTATGAATGCGCGTTGTACGGGTGATGTGTGTTCGGTACTGGACTCGCAGACTACTGAGGAGGCGATGAAGTGTACTATTCCGCGCACTGTTGATGAGGATGTCGATGGTTGTAAGTTATGCCGTATCGCTTTACAGATCTTGTTTAACTAATCACTCGATGCAGGGTTAGCTGAACTTCCTGGGGGCCTTATGAAGGTTTGACAAAGAACCAATGTGCGTAATTTGATGGATTAGAATAAGGTCTGAACGTATTTCCGACACCTGGGATGGCTAGAGTTAGTGTCACATCCTTG